ATAAGACCTAGCGCATCTTTGGGAGCAAAAATTAATATAAGACACTGTCTTATTTTCGGGGAAACAGGGTAGTAGCAAGAGCCTGTCTTCAAGGCCCCCCTTGTTCAGAGCAGCTATTTGCTGGCCCTGCCGCCTTCTCCTGGGGGGGCATGGGTGATTTCTGGCTCCAGCTGGATGGGGGACAGGGGAAGCCCATCCTGTCAGCTCTACTGTCACCTTTCTGTCTGTGGGCCCAATTGCTATTGTTCCAGCTCCCACAAGCATGCTAGGCACTTCAGACATACAAACATTACAGGTGTCTGCCCAAAAGAGATTGCAATCCAAAAAGGGAACATACGGACAAAGGAGCGGGAAACACACTGCCTTGATTTTCAAACCCTTGCCCACTTACCCATTATATTCTCATAAAGGCCCTTTGGAGCAAGAGCCTTGTTTTCCCACTGCTGTGTGAAGTGATTAGCACACTGCATACACAATAATCATTTTTCTCACATACCTTCATTCCACAGCGATTTTGCTAGTTTGACTTCTGCAGATTAGACGCTCCCTCCCTTCCCCCCGCATCCCAGAAAAATCCCACCACCTTCAGAGTAGAAAGGAAGTATTATCTCTTTGCATTCACCTTTCCATGACCGTGTCCTAATGACCCAACGGAAAGATGGTGTTAACAATGGAAAACGATCTCTTCCTTAGACACTCAAGTAGTATAATGAAAGGAAGGGCTGGAGAATACAAATCCTTCTGTATTTTGCATACAGAATTCTCTGAGGGCCTGATACAAAGCCCATTGAAGTTAATAGAAAGACTTCTTTGGCGTCACAGAGCTTTGGGTCAGGTTTTTAATTCCTAGATTCCATGGTTATGGGCTTGATAGAAATACCTGGACAGAGCATTATCAGGGAACAGAAATACCTTAGTACAGCAGCAGAGTTTGTTTCCAGCAATTTGGTTATGCCCACACTGCCTCAATGGGCATGTTGAACATGTGTGGAGAATGATGTCAGATGGACTTTACAGTTATGTACCTCATGACTTAGTTTTCTGTGGATTATACGTTCAAACACCTAGGAGCCGGCTGGAGTAACTGCCATGTTGTGTTGAGTTCAGATGCAACCTGTGGCAGAGGAGACACACACTGTACTCCCTCTTGGAGAGTTTACTTTTGTTCCTTCTTGTTTTGCTCGTCTCCTTTAATTTAAAACAAGCCTGAAAATGTATGGCTGGTTTTTGGTGTGGAATAACGTACCCCACCCACTGTGTGGGCGCATCTCTGAGTCAGATTGGCAGCAAATCGTTTGCTCACCAGCTGAAAATACAGCTTCCAAATATGTAAATTTTAAAAAGTGGGAGCAGAGATCTTGTATTGGTGACATTGGTGACCATTCTCCTGGTTAATTATTTGTGATCACATGCGGACAGATTAGCATGACTGTTTAGTAAGACACAGTCTGCTTCTAGCCTAGCCAGCTAAGATGCAAGAGAAATGCTCTTCTGTGGAGACCTACTAGCATTATGTTGCTATGTTGACACCAGATGTAAATATCTTGCTTATAAATGGGAAAGATTTTCTGCAAATGGCAATGTTATAGTTGCTCTCATCTTGTGCTAGTGTCTCTTTTAAGGAAGTCTGCCTTGTTATTTTCATTTCTTTGATTATCTATGTCCAGTTTGGCTTGTTACATTATATGGATTTTGTCATGTGCCCCTACTTCCCCAACCTACTCATCAGCACCCCTCACAAGCCTCCTCGTTGCTCTGCCGTGTAGGAGGCAGGGGGCCAAGATCATAAGCCAAGATTTTCAAAAGGGACTTGGGATTTTTGGATGTCTCACTCTTTTCGGCATTCTCGACTTAAAACGCCTTAAGGGAGCCTGATTTAAAAGAATGCGAAACGGCAATGGTATCATCCCATTGATTCCTATGGGACTGCTCACAGAGTAAGGGGATACTCAGTGTGAGTAAAGGAATCAGGATCTGCTGCTCCTGTATTAACAATATCGATCCGAGTTAAATAGCTTTCATTTTAGTCAGGTATGAAGGAAAGCTGGATGTGCTGAGTAAAAGCCGGACACAGAGTTTTAACAGCTAGCCAATAAGTTTATTGTACAGTTAAATGGGCTTGCAAGAAATATCAATGTATGATGGCTATAAAATAGACATGTTATACGCCTGCTGTAAAAAGAGCCATCACTGTCAGGTTTGTTACCCTGAGCTCTCAGTAAGGACCAGAGTCTGTCCTCCTCATTCATGTTGCACAGTATCTTACTCTGCAAGCAGCCATATTGATTTCACAGAGTGAGAGGGACAGATTCTGGCCCTAAAATACCATTTTGCCTTGGAGACTTCAAAATTCATTAATGGATGAGGCCATCAAAGTCTCTCTATTTTTGGTTACAACTTAAATATGAGATATTTGTACACACTGACTCCAGGACCCAGAGCCATCCTCTCCACTGCCTCCCACTGCGCCTTAATGTTTTCTGCCAGTGTTTTTCATTTGAAGTTGAGCACCAGCGATGAATTAAACCTGGTTTGAATGGGGTATTGTGGGTTTAAAAAATAAAAATCCTGGTATTGAATGTTGCCTGCTATTCTATGTGGAAACACTAGGTGGTAGTGTGAAATACCATTTAACTTCAATTGTGTGCACCTTAGACCGTGGAGACACCTAGCCCTGCATCCAGTAGTTTGTGCATAAACTGCCTCTTAATTCCTTGGCAGGGCTTATAATCATTGGGTTAGTGGAATCCTTAATTACAGTGAGTGAGTGAATCACATGGGGCAGGTTTCAATGTATACATTACTTCATTGGGAAAACCTGTAGAATGAGTGTAAATGAAGCAGTTCCCCCAGGAGCCGTGCACTCAGTACAGTATAGTCTGTTGTCTTTGCTGTGTCACGGTAACCCCTTTACTGTGTACCTCCGGGACAACGCACAGCCCATGGCATGGTGTAGTCCAACAGCCAGCAAGGACACACGTGGGTACCTGGTGAATGTACAGCTGGCTGGAGAAGCTGTGGAAAGTTGTACATATGAAGGATTTTGCTTTTCTGTAAGGAAGAGACCTTGTGCTGTGCTGTTAACACGTCAGCGGCAGGCTTTGCTTTTCATCTCTTCCCTTGCAAATCTTCAAATGAGGTTAGAGGCCACCAGCAGCAGCCGCTAGAACCTAGGGCAGGGGTGAGCAAACTTTTTGGCCTGAGGGCCATATTGGGGTTCCAAAACTGTATGGAGGGCCAGGTGGTTTTTCATGAGAGTATCCAGTTTTGAGAGCTTAAAACCCTATACCGGAAACCTACTGACTGCTATACGTACCTACATGCTTCCAGCTTCCATCCAGGACACACCACACGATCCATTGTCTACAGCCGAGCCCTAAGATACAACCGCATTTGCGCCAATCCCTCAGACAGACAAACCTACAAGATCTCTATCAAGCATTCTTAAAACTAGAATACCCACCTGCTGAAGTGAAAAAACAGATTGACAGAGCCAGAAGAGTACCCAGAAGTCACCTACTACAGGACAGGCCCAACAAAGAAAATAACAGAACACCACTAGCCGTTGCCTTCATCCCCCAACTAAAACCTCTCCAGCGCATCATCAAAGATCTACAACCTATCCTGAAAGATGATTCCTCACTCTCACAGATCTTGGGAGACAGATCTGTCCTCGCTTACAGACAGCCCCCCAACCTGAAGCAAATATTCACCAACAACCGCACACCATACAACATAAACACTAACCCAGGAACCTATCCTTGCAACAATGCCCGATGTCAACTCTGTCCACATATCTATTCAAGTGACACCATCATAGGACCTAATCACATCAGCCACGCCATCAGGGGCTCGTTCACCTGCACATCTACCAATGGGATATATGCCATCATGTGCCAGCAATGCCCCTCTGCCATATACATTGGCCAAACCGGACAGTCTCTACGCAAAAGAATAAATGGACACAAATCTGACATCAGGAATCATAACATTCAAAAACCAGTGGGAGAACACTTCAATCTCTCTAACCACTCAGTGACAGAGTTGAAGGTGGCAATTTTGCAACAAAAAAACTTCAAAAACAGACTCCAAAGAGAGACTGCTGAACTTGAATTAATATGCAAATTAGATACAATTAACTTAGGTTTGAACAGAGACTGGGAATGGTTGGATCATTACACTAATTGAATCTATTTCCC